TACAAAATTTATTCCTCAAAGCTTCCTCCAGTTTTTGGAAAATCACTGAGAATGCTCCTGCAAAGAAAACAACCCACAAGTAAATTTTTTCACACTTTCTAGTTTCTAGCGGAGGCATTGCCATTTGAACTCTTTTTTTTTAGTACATTGCCATTTGAACTTAACCATTGCAATTATCGAAATATCAGCCGCAGGAACAACCAATGTACAAGGGTGCAAACAGTGTGAGGAGTAAATGTGCATCAGTAAAAAAAAATTCAGCAAAGTGATGAGCAATCGGTTAGAATTGCAATGTTTATAATGCACACCAAGCCCATATTCATAAGATTCATCATTTCACTTAGCTAAGAAGGACATCTTAGCAGCACAGGGTAAGAACATATTCCTCCAAAGCTATTTTTAGAGTCAGCTGTAGACTAAAATACTACAAACATAATGAAAATGACACTTAAGAAAATTAAAATTGGAAAAGCAGGTTGGAGAAAAACCTGATAATGGGCTATTCCTATCTTGTAAGGAACCTTTCACCAACAGTGTCCCAGGGATTTGCTGAAAAACCTGTAGGATGGAATACATAACACAAGACCAATGTAAATTCTGCCAATCAAAATCATTTTCCAATCCAACAAAGAATGCAAGCATACCAATATTCGAAGGCATAATCTATTCAAAGAGAAATTCAGACTTGATCCATTAGATGTCTCTCCTGTAGGTTGACAATCCATGGATTTATTGGTAATGGGTAATTCATTCTTCATGATTGAATCACACTCATCTTTCGATGCCACAACCTATTAAAATGCAATCACGCTAAATAGTCATCACAAGGAAATTAAATCAGAATCTGAGACACAGAGTAACTAGTCTTACATCCACCGTGAAAGAGGAGGTATTCAATGTACAGGATAGGCCATGCAAAGAGAAGTAAGACTTGACAGCTTCCAACACATTAATGGCACCATGTTGGCGTTGAAGTCCCTGAAAAGTATATTTGCTTCATGACATCACATCAGGAGGAACCAAAAGTGACACAACATACGAGAACATATATAGATGCAATTGATGACTATTTCAAGGCAACATGTATTTCATATAATTTGTTGAGATATATAAAACCATTAATGTAGCCTCACCCAAAAGTTTAAGCTTTTGGGTTGAATTGGTTCTTTACATGGTATCAGAGTCTCGTGTCTCGGGTTCAAAATCTTGCCACCTCCCACTTTCTCTTGTAGAATTTCTTAGCACAAGTAGGCTGGACCTGTTGCATTGTCCACTCTTCAAGCTCAAAGGGCTCTTGTGTGAAGGGGCGTGTTAAGATATATAGTCCCACATTGGTTGTATGAGCAACTAATGTGGCCTTTATAAGGCCTTGGGCACTCTCACCCTTTGAGCTAGCTTTTGGGGTAGTGTATCCCAAGGTTCTTTACATGGTATCAGAGCCTCGTGTCCCGGGTTCGATCCTCACCGCCCCCCACTTTCTCTTTTGGAATTTCTTAGCACAGGTAGGTGGGTCTGTGCATTGTCCACCCTTCAAGCCCAATAGGCTCTCGTGTGAGGGGGCGTGTTGAGATATATAAAACCATTAATGTAGCCTCACCCAATAGCTTAAGCTTTTGGGTTGAATTGGTTCTTTACATAATTGAAGACATCTTCCACATAAGGAAATCAAATAGAAACTCTTGCTCCTACTGGGAATAAACACAAAGCTATTCAGTTTTCCACCAACAACCTTGTGCTTGGAGGATGGGTGCACAAACTAGAATTGAATGCTCACCCAATTATGTGCATGAAATGAGAAAACTTCTCAGTGTACATAATATATTGGAAAGATAATACAATCACTAATGGCGAAAACAAGGTTCCTAGCACAAGGTGTCAAATATTCCCAAATATCATGCTAGAAAGAGTGTCTTCTGTTCCAAATTAGTTGATAAAACCATATTTTGTTGTTTGAGCCGTATTTTGAATTAAGTTTCTTAGTCACCATGATATCCAACTTAATTCTTAGTGCATAAAATATATATTTATGCTCTCAACCATTCTATCAAGGGTCAATATCTTAGTATGCCAGATAATGCGCTAGGAACTAGGATTGCTCCCAGAACAATCACGTCATTTTTTCATTGGCACGGGATAACAATCATTTTTTATGGGTCCGCTTAAAATCAATACAGTTGTTAGAAACCGCAAATTAGATACTACACCTCAAGCATGAAGGACATGTTATTCTTGTCAGGCAAAGAAATTGATGACTTCTGTATGGGAGGCAAGAAAGACCAAGCAAGCCCCCATCGGGATGTCCTGCCTTGGACAAACTCAGTTGTCTTCACTATGGTTACGCCAACCTCCCAAAGTTTTGATGTAAGGTACTTGAGACTTGATTTTTTACCCACCATTGAAGTGAACCACCTATGAACACATTGAAATGAATGAGCACAAATTCATTACAAGTAAATCAACACCTAAACATAAGAAAAAAGAATCACATTTCATATGCAAAAACTATTACCGAAAATGATGCTTCAGCTGAGTACTATCTTCAATAATACGAGTAATGAAGGCCTTCTCACCACCAGGGCAAACCATTTCTTTAGAAGTGCCACCGCAAGAAGTTTTGGGATTAAGTCCAGCTTCCTCCAAGCTTTCAAAAAATGGCGGATTACACATGCAGAAATCAAACTTCTCATCATCCCTGACTACACCAAGAAGAGTGGGAGGTCCATGATAATTCTCAGCATGGACTGACTCTTCGTGATGCAACCCCTCCACACAGGGAGCATCTGCATTGCTTTGAACCTGTCTAATTTCAATCAACTCAGAAATATGTGGATTACTATCAACATTTCTCCCCGCCCACTCAATTGCAACATCAGTCACATCTGCAGTCATTTAAGCAAGCCTGAATTCCGATTTTTTACAGCAGTTATAAAAAAACAGAATACAGAACCAGATAAAACAATAAACCTGATCCTACAAAACTCCATCCCAAAAGAGATGCACCAAGAAGTGGGTATATGCAATTGGCTCCAGTTCCTATATCAAATCCCCTCACCTTACCACCTTCAGTTGAAATGGTATTTGGAATGATGTCAGATGAGAGAAGATCTTCAACCCAATGGATGTAATTAGACCTGTTGGGAACAGTAGGACACAACTGCCCATCAGGAATCCACCTACAACCAAAATGTCAATCACATGACTTGTTAACTCAACAGGGTCTCTATTAAAAGAGGGAATGCTTCCCCTCATAATATCAACCCTTTATAAACAAACCAACGATGAAGACTGAAAATAAAGAAAGAATTGATGTGTTTTATTGTAGCAATCCAGATTCATCACTATTCCCATAGGGACAGGATCCTTTGACACCAAATTTTAACTATTGATTTCTTCCAATCTGAGGGATATAATTTTTGGATCACATTTATTAACTAATTAGTAATTCCCAATAAATTATAGTCATCAGATTGACAAAAATCAACAATTAAGATTTGGTGTCAAACTTTTTAATTTGACGCCGGTATCAAAGGATCTTATCTCATTCCCATATCCTAGTTGTTAGTTATTAAATTAGTTTATTTTACCTTTAGATTAAAATTAGTTAAATTATCTTATCAGTAGTTTCTAATTAAAATTAAGATTTTGATTGCATTTAAGATTCAATTGCAATTGGTTATGTAATCCAACTTCATTAATAAATAATAGAGCAACAATCACATAAAATAATTCAAGTTTCTCCTTAAAGTCTCAATATCCTCCTTAATTCTCTATCTCCAAACATGACTTAATAATTCAAGCCTTCTCACATGACTAAATAATGTGAAATGAGACATGATAGAAATCATAGGACCCTTCAATAAAAGTATGAAAATTTGAGAGACAATACCAGTTGAGAGCATGGTGGTGATGGAGTAATACACGGGTGAGTTCACGGGTGGCGTTGAAGTCGGTCCAATCGATCCTGGGGTGCCCATAACGCGAGTATTGCACAAAGGGTTCGAATGATGGGTACAGAGAAGCAAGATGCCCAAAATCTGGTGGATTCTCTGAAAACTTGTTGTTGGGTCCCTCCCTTTTCCTCTTCTTCCCACCCATTATCCCTCAAAATCAAACCTTTTCAGCAGTGTTACCTATTGCTTGTTGTTGGGTCCCTCCCTCTTCCTCTTCAGTCTTTGTTTAAACAAACAATTTCAAATTTGGTTCCTGGCTTCCTGCCATAGCCCATACACTACAAAAAACACGGTGTTTAGCCACGCTAAAAAACGTGGCTAAACCAAACTAACACATTTTTGCCAAATGTGCCTAATCATGGCGTGGCTTTTTTTAGCCACATTTATTTGCTCACTTTGCTACTGCTGTCATGAGTGTGGTAGCATTACTTTGGCCACATTTTTTTTATATTAGCCACGTTACAAAGGTGGCTAATTTGTAGGGAGAGAATAAAAAAAATACATTTTTATTTCTTTTATAATATGCCACTATCCAAATTCTTTTTTTTTTTTATAGAGATATAAAAGTTTGTTAAAAAACTGTTGAAAAGAAAGATCAATAGTTAGAAGTAAAATGCTAAGTATTGGTTCTTCTCACTTTCCATTTCAATTATTTTTACTAATGACCAAAACAACTATAAGAACCAAGCATATAGCGCATACTCCGAAGATTTCCTTGACAACTAAGGACCTATCTCTTGAACAGAACTGAGGCAGCTAGAATCAGGAAAATGAAAGAAATGAAATGCAATGCAAAATATAGAAGCCCAAAAAAAAAGTCACTTCATTATTGTGATGAAATCCATTGAGATACTTTTTTTATATTAATCTTTCATAACTAATTCTCCCAAAAAAAAAAAAAATTCTCACCCTATAGTCTCTGTCAAATCCGTCAATTTCAACTAAGTCTCCATAATCCTGCGAAGCAACAAGCAAAACAAAATAAGTAGAGTCTAAATTTTCTCATAAGCAAACCCCGGTTTGACACCTATCACACAACAAAGTGCCTTGAAGAAGAAAAATATAAGAAAAAAAAAATGAGCTCCAATCTATTCTCATAAGCAATTTATATCTGTGGTGGTTAAGGAAAATATTAAAATTTCACTTTTAACTCAAAATTTTAATATCTGTGGTGACAGCATACGATATGAACTGTTAATAGAAGGGGCAAGAGGTGGATTTGGCATATGAGAAGTATCTTGGGAAATCTAAGATGGCATACAATGAAATGCTGCCATTGCATATGTGTGAGCATAGGAATACCCAGTTAAACGAGTTTAGTTTGGGATGTCATTTTAGACAAAAAAAAAAAAAAAAAAAAAACTATATTAGATTTTATGTATAAGAACTCACCACAATAAACCCATAGAAAATGCCTTTTAGTCAACTTTATCAATTGATCCATAGAATTGTCGAAAAGCTAACCTGATTCAAGCAGAATACAAAGCCTCGTCAAAATTAAATGAGTTTAGTTACATAGGATACAATTGGCTTCAATTATTTAAATCCCAATATTTTAGGACATTGATCAATCTGAAAGAAACAACAACAAATAAGGACATGAAAGAGTACCTTTTTTCATGAGCAACTAACTCACAGATTTCAATATTTTTTGTCCAATAAGTTTCAGCCAGTTTCTCACTTGTCGCAGCATTGACTAGCTCAGCTGTCATTTTTTCTAGATAAAGATCTGAAAATTAAATAGAACATAAAAAGTTGAAGATATTACAGAAGAGGAAGAAAACATGCAGATAAAAAGTTGAACATAAAAATTTGGGTTTGGGTATCAAATCACATTAGACTATTAACCATTATATACAATATCGGAAGGTAATTGAAGAACAACATACCAAGATTTGCTATCAGAACACTCATAATTCATAACTACATAAAGTCACCCATGGTAGAGAATCCGATGTATACAGTTTTGGTGTTGTTGCTTTAGAGATAGCCTGTGGAAGAAAACCAATTGTACTAAAAGCTTTTATATCCCGATTTCAAGCTTTTCTTTATTTTATTGGAGCCAATAAGCTAATAAGGTTTAAAGTTTAAACTAAAGGCCATTGAATCAAGACTCACTTAGCAATTCCTTTTTGGCGCAAGTGGGCTTTTGTCACAACAATAACCATATTGATGTAAAGTAAGAGACCTCTAAGTCTTGTAGGCTATTCCATTGACCAAACTGGCCAACCAAAAACTAATGGAATGAAGAACCATCGTTGACATTTTTGAAAAAAAGAAAAGAAAAGAACCATAGTTGAAATATTTTATTCTTCTAGCTGAAAAATTTGGACCCTTCCCACAAGGGCAGGAATTAATGGGTTTGCATCAAATATGGTAGTGGTGGTCCCGAAAAACTATATTTACACTCGAGCTTCCTTCAGGTATCATCTCTGCTTCAAGTCCTTGATATCTTTTCTAAGTTTAAATAATTACAGTTATCATGGAAGAATTTTTTGCACGTCCATTGAATCACAAACATAGATACAGTTTGATCAACTTCACTCACTATCATCATAGATGCCATACAAATAATTGTCAACTCATATTCTCTTAGTGCTTGCTTTCTAGTAACTTGGATACTGGCCTATATGCCCTGTAAATTAATAACACGTTAAAACCAACTTTTTTGTAGTCAAACCTTTTAATTTTCTTTTTATCAAAAGACATATATTTTTTATTTTTCTTTCCAGTGCTCTTCATTTTAAAATAATATAGCATTACATAAGGGTCTTTTTGTTTCTGGAAAATTTGGGTTTGTTCTTTAATATTCCTCCACTTTTAGGATAAATGAGAAACACTGTGTTATAACACAGACTATAAGCACTGTGTTATAACACCTCATCGGTATTTCACATTTTTAGGATAAATGAGAAGAGAAGCAACATATCCTCAGAGCGACATATCAAAAAAGTGTGATGTGCGATTTAACAGTATCATGCTTCAGATGTTCGGTGAGGAAATTGATCAAACACATGGCATCCAAAAAGAAAAACGAATAAAAATTGTTACCTTAGTGGTCAACTTGTAATCACTTGTTTCCATTTTCCACTTCTAACGTAGAGATCTCACTTGCAAATCCTCCTCAAGAGTGCGAGGATCAACCGGATGAGATAATGGAAAAGGTTAGAGCAATCATTATTTTGATTTGACCAAGCAATCTCCGTACAAAAACCTAAAATTAGAGCAACCAGCACTAAAAACTTAAAATAAAAAAAAAAAAATATTTTCATTCTTATTCTCGTATTTTGATTTGATCAAGCAAACATGAGCATAAATTGAAATGGAAAGATCAAGTAATGAAAAGAAGGAATATGGAGCTCTACGAACCTGGATTGTTAGAGATCTGATGAGATCCGAAAGCTTAGAGGGGTAAAAAATATGAAAATGTTACTTAGGTATGTCAGAGCATAAAATTTGGGAGATAGGAAAGAAACTTCTGGAAGGAGGGTTTGGGCTTCTTTTTCTTAGTTTGCCACATGTAATATAAAGGTCGGTAAACGAATCTGCCTAATCACCGGGTTTTTTGTATAGGAATGTTTTCAAGAAGCAATTTTTATTTTTTTATTTTTATTTTAAAGAATACCTAAGTAAATACAGCCAAGGACGTATTTGATTTTTGATAATTAAGTAAATTACACTCTATTACATGACAATAAACTTTAAATTTATTAAAAATTGAACTCTACTTTATAAAGATAAGTATTCATTCATCGTTAAATACTTATTATTAATTAGTCAAAAAAATTTACTAATCTTACTTAGGAATTGGATCCTCTCAAAAAAATTTGATATCAAATCTTAATCATTGTAACGGTTATAATTTATTGAGTCATAATTAATAATTAATTTATTAATTTTCAATAAATTATAACGGTTAAATTTACGAAAAATAACGATTAAAATTTGGTGTTAAACTTTTTAGTTTAAACCGATGTTAAAGGGTCATGCCTTTTTTACTTATTTACACTTTAAATTTTAAATATTTAATTTATGTAATAAATAAATCTTAACCATATAAATTAAAATTACATAATACTAATCAAACTGTTATCACTAAATAAAAAATTAGAATTAATTCTTTTTCGCATTTTTTATTTTATTTTCATTATTTTTTAAGGGAAGAATTATACTTATAACATATTTTCTCTTATAACCACTTTTGTAATTATTGTATTAAAATAAAATCAATGGATCTCATTTAATGTCATTGCAAGACTATTGATTTAATTTTGATCTAATAATCATAAAAGTAGTTATAAATATAACATCTCTTATTTTTTTTAATTCTAATTTATCAACAACAAAAAAATAGTTATTTTTTATTTATCAATTATTCATAGCTCAGATACAAAATCCTTACAATCAACTGCAAATGATAGGTTATGAAAATATAAATATATATACTACTTTTGCTTTGATCAAGATTTTATAACCTAATAAATATAAATATTTATATTATTCCTTACTTATTTGTAATATTTCATTTAAAATATATATATATATATATTACGTTGTCTTTTATTTTTTAGCAATTTAAACACACTTATATTTTTTTAAAACACATGTATCTTGAATGAGTATTCACTTTATTCCGACAATATATAATTTGTATCTTTATACATATTTTAATCTGCACTTCAATGTCTTTTTTGGGCATGAAATATTTAATGGCTTATCTAGTCTCATGTTACGTGAGAGAAGAAATCTTATGTTGTAGACACATAGTGGGATCCACTATCTAAAAAATAAAAAAGAAAGAAAATAAAAATATTGCACGGTTATCGAAGGGTGTGTAGAAAAAAAATTTACTATGACATAAGAATAGTTTTTCCCCGATATTTAAATAGTGTTTCATATTAAAAATAAACTACATGAGACAATGGATCATAAAACAAGTAGGAGAACTCTTCATTGTGTGACTGTGTAACTAGCCTTTCCCTACATTAATATATGAGTCTAAAATTCCTTCGACATATCGCGGTATAGCTTATAAAGAGATTTAACAGCTCATTTTTTGACAGAAATGAAAAAAAAAAAAAAAAAAAAGAGAGAGATAGAGTGAGTTGAGAAGATTGGGGCCATCAGCATAAAGGGATAATGAGGAATACATGGGTTCATGTTTAAAATATTGGGTTCATGTTTAAAATATTGGAGGTGATACCAAAAAAAAGACCCTTTATTGCAAAAATAGATGGCATGTTAGACGACTTAATTTTAAATCCTTAGGTTATCAGAACATCTATAGCAGTGTATGACTCCATTATCATAAGAACACTCTATGTGAGGCCAAAAGAGTTATAATGTGCTTAAACAACAACTTTTGATGCCAGGGATTCCCATTAAAGTCCATAAAAGAAAGTACTTTTTAGAGTACAAAATGAGTCAGGGCCACCAAATTCCAGTGCCTCTGCGTGATCAGGAAGCCTATTCCAGCAGTCATGTATAGATAGCCATTAGAACGCTGTTTGGTTCAGCTTCAGCATAAGATAATGCCAACACAAAACAACTCAAGTGTGGCCAGAAAACTATGAGTGCCATGTTTCTCCAGTTAGTAGTTATGCTCAACAGGATTATTTTCAATGAATTCGAAACAAAAAAATAGACACTTTATCAAAAGGTGAAATCAATTTGTTGAATATATGTAATTATCAAAAGCTTCCAAAATGGGGTAGGTATGATTTTTGCCAAGCAAAAAAGCACAGATATGATAGGCCAATTGTTACTAGGGTACACATTAGGAAGGGAAAGCAAGATATAGACAATCCAGCTCCCTAATGTTTACATACTCAGTCAAGAGCATGGTAATTAAAATCTGAATTTAAATCTTAAAATCCCGATTTTAACGATTTATTTTTGCTAAAATAATTTAGATTTCACTTAAAATCCTTTCCAATATAAAATCCCGATTTAGACAATTACTTAAGTCCCGATTTTAAGATTTAAATCCCGATTTTAACTATTGAAATGATGTTAAACAAGTTAGAAAAATTGCTGATTATAACATTGCTGATGTTTCATCTGAAGATGAATAGATTGTGAAAAATGAAGGAACTTGATCTCTTGATGAAAGTTTAGATGAAGACAATTTTGAATGATGTAGTTGAAGATCACGTGGAACAGAATGTCTTCAATGATAATAATTTGAATGATTTATTAGCTTAAACTCTTAGAGTCTGACAATTGTATGCAAATGTATAAGGATGGTGGCAGGTAGTCTATTTTTCTTAATTTTTTTATACATAAGCATATGTATATAAAAATTTAATTTTAGAGTGCAGGTAAAATCTACTATTTGTATTACGATTTTACGATTTACGATTTTTATTCCCTTTCCGATTTTAGGTAAAATCCTGATTTTGACTACCTTGGTCGAGAGTGAAGAGTTTTGTCATAATAAAAAGGAAGGGAATGACATTGGTAGGAAGAGTGTGATTAGGCTAAGTATTGTACATGCCATTGATTCTGTTTATTTACATGCTATTGATTCTGTTATGGACTAAATCCATATCTAAACAACTTATCCAACAAAAGATAAGGTCTATTCAAATAATATCCTAAATAACAGAGGATCAAAAAATACACTCCTATTAGGATTCTATACCTACAAGCAACGCTTTCTATAAATAAAAGGTTAAAGTCTCTCAGGTTCACACTTCTGAACTCATTCCTTATTATTGCCAACACAGTGCACACACCATCACGTCTTGGTTATACGTCCATTATCAGTACACCGTGATTAGTACATTGGCCTTGAGCCAATTAGATCTCCTTTTATAGATATTTCTGAATGGGTACATCTATCACCTACGATCTATCTGGACTGAATATCCAGAACGACGTTGTTTTATCTCCGGTGACTGGAGAAATATTTTTCCCATTTTTTAAACTCTTATTTTTAACTCTTCTGGTGGAAAGAATATCCATGTAGGGGAAGGATCCGTTTACAAATTTTTTTGAATTTTTTTTACAAATTACACTATGTTCTCCCGGGAGAACATAATGTAGTTTGTAAGAGTTTGTAAACAAAAAAGTTTGTAAATATAACTTGCCCCATCCATGTATCCATTGGAACTTTTTCTGCATCACCCTTTTTCAAAAAAGGTTATGATACTGCGTTGTTGATTTACTACGTCCATGATCGACTCTAAGGGGGCGTTTGGTTGAAGATAAATTTTAAGAATACTAGAGAAATGTAATTACTAGGTATCCATAGGGAAAGTTGAATAGATGGGGAAGCTAAAAAAAAGTAGTTTGGTTTGACAAAATTTTACCAGGGAAATATATGACAAAAAATGTGTCAACAGTGCTTTACCCGGGTTTTCTCAAAAAACCACCCTCAATTCGGGTTTCTAAACCGTGCAAATTACTATCTTTCTCAAAAAGTCATGCATTTCACATAGATGGGTTTTGGTCAAAAGCTGTTGAACCAAACATTGGTTTTCTAAAAACCAAGCTTCATTTACCTAGAAAAATCTCAAAAAGCATGAAACCAAAGCCCCCTAAGGAGTTAGAAAATTGCAAGTTATGCAGAGGAAAATCGATTGTGGATCCCTCACCTTTGATAGGGACTTAGGCTACTGTGCACTCTCAAGTCTCAAAGCAAAATGCTAAAAGTTGCTCGAGGAAGCATATAGAGGTACTGTAAAACCATGAACAGAAATGTATAAATCATTAGAAATCATGTTTTATTTTATATATTTTTATTTATGACCCCTTCACCATTATTGAGGCAGTTGATGACAACATACACTATACACACTATAGCTGCATCATGCAGGTAACATATGGAGCTCCTCTATATACCCATGTTTGCTAATAAATTCATGCTTATGAACAATAAAATGCATGTAATAGATATGTTTAAATCTACATATTACTCGCTAATTCATCCTTTCTCCAATGTTTTGATTTATTTCCATTCTCCACAGTTAGTAACAAGGATAATACCCAAAAAAGTAATTTAACATCAGAGGAAAAACTACTTAAAATTGAAACTCAGTAGTTTAGGATTTTTTACTGCATGAAAAACGTAGATATATATATATATATATATATATATATATATATATATATAAAGTCCATAGTCAACAAAAGGATACATTTAGTGTATTTTTTTTATATATAACAAAACAGGAAATTAAGGAAGCTAAGGGTGTGCATGACAACCATTCTATTCTCTAGCACTGTTTCTAAAAAGAAACAATTCTTTTCTATTTCTATGCCTTCGAACAGTTTCTGAGAAAAAATATGTGTTTGATAACATGTTCTATTTCCGAGAATGAGAATTGCGTTTGATAACACAATAAATAATATAATAAAAAATAATTCCTATTAAATATAAAAAAAATTGGATCATCGTTTTCCTTTTCATATGGTGTGATTGTGGTGGTGGTAGCGGCGGGTGGCATAGTGGTGGTGGCGGCGGCGGTACAGTAGTGGTGGTGGCAGTGACTTGGTGAAGATAGTGATGGTGGTTGTGACGACAGTGGCTGCGACGATGGCGGTGGTAATGGTGGCGGCGGCGGCGGTGGTAGTGGTGGGGATAATGGTAGTGGAGGTGACGGCAGTGGCTGCGACAATGGTGGTGGGTATGGTGGTTGGTGGAGGCAACAATGGTAGCAGTGGCATGGTGGTGGTGGTTGTGAAGGCATCAGGATGGTGGTGGTGGCAATGGCGGTGGTGGTAGGTGACAGTGGTGGTGGTGGTGGTGATGGTGATGGTGGCGATGGCGTGGTAATGGTAGTGGCGGGGGTGGTGTAATGGTGGTAGTGACGGTAAGGGCTATGATTACGGTGGTGGTGGTTGGTGGCGGCAACAGCAGCGACGACGGTGACGGTAGTGGCTGCAGCAATGGTTGTGGTGGTTGGTGATAGTGGTGGTGATGGTAGTGGTGGCGTCGTGGTGGTGGTAGTGGTGGTGGCGATTGTGGCGATGACGACAGTGGTTGCGATGATGGTGGTGGTGGTTGATGACAGTAGTGGTGATGGAGATAGTGGTGGTGGCGGCGGTGGTAGTTGTGGTGGTAGTGACGGTGGCATGGTGGTAGTGATGGGTGGAAGTGGTGGTAATGGTGGCGGTGGCATCGTGGTGGTGAGGGGTGGTGACGACGGCACTAGTGGTACGATGGTGGCAGCAGTCGTGTCGGGATGATGGTGGTGGTGGTGATGATGGTAGAGGTGGAGAGTGATTGAGAGAGATAAGTGTTTCTCATTTTGTGCCCGGGAACAAAAAAGCAGAAATTTTCTAATTCTTCTTTCTATTCCTTAGCACAAAAATTAAACCGGTTCATCCTGGGAACAAAAAAAATAAACCAGTTTTACCAAACGAGTTTCTTATCAATTCATGTTCCCAAGAACAGAAATTAAAAAAGAATTGATTCCGAGAAGGTTGTCATGCACACCCTAATTAACACATACAAAAGTGTACTTTAACTAGACATAGTTTCATTAAGTAGATGATGACATTGAGATTTGGCAGAGTTGTCCTTCAAGTAGCACATAAAACTTTAGTTAAACGCAAATATATCTTCTCTGATGGAAGAGCAACAGTCTCAAAACCTCGAGGAAACATTTCCTTAGCTTGCTCATTAGTCACATCAGGGGAAATCACAACTGAGTCCCCTGGTTTCCAATTTAGATATCAATACCTAAATTGGAAGCCAAGGGGACTAGCAATTTAGATATTAATATTATTTTATTATAAATAATCTAGAATATTACAAAGTATCAAAATTATTTTCCAATAGTACTCATATCGCACAAAATTATTTTATCAAAATTTATATTATAATTTGTTATTTATAACCATCATATATATATATATATATATATATATATATATATATATATAGGATCCTTTGACACTAGTGTCAAATTTGAAATTTGACACCTCATCAAGATCAACGATTCTGATTTGTAAGCATGTGACACCATTGATATTTTTTGATCTAACGACTATTAGATGAAGTGTCAAATTTTAAATTTGACACTGATGTCAAAGGATCTTACCTCATATATATATATATATATATATATATATATATATATATATATATATATATATAATGGAAAAAGTATTTCTCTAGTCACCGGAAATAAAATTATCTCCAGTGAGCTCAAAATGATGTCGTTTTGAGTTATAAGATTAAAAAATTATAATGACAAAGACTAATATAACCCTGCAATATATTATAATTACAAAAACACATTGATTTCCGCACCAAAATGACGTCATTTTGAGTTCACTGGAGATAACTTTATCTCTAGTGACTGAAGAAATTTTTTACCCATATATATTATTACTATTAACTTATAGTTTATTATTATTATTAATTTATTATATTATAAATTAATATTATTTTCCTGAGATATTACAGTCCCAGTAATAGAGACTCTCTAAGTTCCAACACTATTAATTTTCTGAAATCTATGATTCGTACACACACCCAGCTAGTAGTTTAAATATATTTAATCACAAATGAAGTTCAAAAGTCTCTTTCACGTGGTGGTGTTTCTTCTTCTTATTGTGTGTCACGGGCTTAGAGGAAGGGATTAATAAAAAGACTTAATTGGGCTTATGAATAGATTTGTTTTGGGGTTCTTTCTTATAACTGTTGTTATGAGTTAGACACTGATGAGGACAGGTTATGTATTAATTAAATTATAAGGAATAAAACAGATGTCTCATTTCAGTGACAGTGTTCATAACCCATTATTTTAAGCTTATTTTTGGATGCGTTTGTCTTAATCATGGTTTTAATCAAACACAAACATAGACCCGGAATTGACTCGGACCAGTTAGAGTAATGTTGCTAGGTGTTCCAGCTTCACAGGGGCCTATTCCAATACATGCACATTGGAGGATATTGACAAACTAAATCTTACCTTTTTAAAATCTGTGCTTTATTTGATTTTGAAATTTGATCACACCTTGTTTTTTTTCCTTGCTTATTCTATGGTTTAACAGATATATATGGTAGTAACTAATAATGTGTTCATGTTCATGTATTGAGTGAAAGCTAGCTTTAGCTGATCATGTCATGTTTACTACAACCGTATACACTGATTCGAATGTTCTACCATTTCTTAATTTGATAAATAGATTGCCAAAAAAAAATGGTTTTTTTCTTTTAGAATGACAATATAAAACTTCACATTTGTTATTTTTTTAAATTACTAATACCTTTATTATTATCAAACTTTCAATAAGTTTACGTGGATGTATTATTTAATTATGTGACATACAATCACAACCGTTGAATGATTAGATAGAAATTATACAATTGATCTTTAATATATAAAAATGACCAATGCAGGTTAACATTAATTTTACGCTCAGCTAGCATCAGAAGAAATCCTTTGAATGAATATCTTAGAAATCATTGCCTGTTTCTTACCATGCAAACATTTCTTTTACTCAAATTCTTGCCTATCCCAATCACTTAGCTACACTTGAGTGGTTCAAGTGTAAAGGAAACACTTAATAAAAAAAACAATATGCAAATAGTGGATTGCATAATATAATGATAACTGTTTATGAAAAATAAAGTAAATATTCTGACATCCATAGTTGGGTTTCTACGTGCTCATTTTTTATAAAATCAATTATTAATCTTTTCATTAATTGTTATGAATTTTATTCTTTATTCTTTTCTTTTGGGTAAACATACTTTATTCTTTTAAATATACTATACTCTCTCATAAGAATTATTATTCAAATAAATTATTATCATCTCAATACTTTACTCCCTGTGTAGACAAAGTATACAGGAGAGCTTCTCTTGCTTAACCCTGGTAAGAATGACATGGCAAACACAACGCTGAACTTGGGCATGCTGAAATTATCCTCATAGAAAACCTAGTCCTACTACTAATTAACCACACCACCATATAATAATGCTACCCACATACATTTAAACACACATTTTCTAATACCAGCAAAAATTTTACTATTTGATTGTAGTTGATCCTACCTTATTAATTATTTTCTACACACTTGTACTTTGATTTTATCACTTAACACAAATGTTCTTATGTGCACCGAGCATTGCTCTATACTTTAAATTGAAAATAAAGGGTCCAAATTGGAATACAATAGAAAACAATGCAGTGGTATCTAATGCACACAGATTTTGTTGTGTTCCATCATTATCTCTTCTTCAGCAGCTTTACTCATTTTGAATTTTGATCAGTACCAGCAATCTACCACTTCCCCTTCCTCTGGCAAATTCCACTTTTTTGGGGGCCCTGAGGTCCTTGGGCGTGCATCAAAATCAGACCAACCTAGTCTTGCAATTTCTACACTAATCTTCCGACCATACAAATCCTGTTGACAATGAACAGAAAACAAAATTAGGACAGAACATTCAGTTGTCATGGTTGATAATCTAAAGATGAGGCATAACATAAAAATTTGAACCTTCTGATCCATGGTTTCAAGTGCAAGCATGGCATCATCTTGACATGTATATTGAATAAAAGCATATCCCTTAGATCTTTTTGTGTTCACATCTTTCACCACTTTAACTGTAGCACGTAAAATGCGTGACACAAGATGCAGAGTTAAAGTACTAAAAGCGATCATGTAAACTACTGAAGTCCCACATTATTATGAATAATGAGAAAATTATGCACTTACCTTCAGCTATCTGGCCAAAATTTGAAAAGTCCTTCTGCAAAGTAGTCTCACCAGTAGAATATGATAAATCTACATCAAAATAAGAACAAGTAGAACTTGATATAAACATAGTAAATTAAAGGAAGAAATCATGTGCTCCGTGGCATACAGACATCAGAAGTGAAAAATATTTTAAGGCATATGAAAAGACTGATCACCAACGAAATTAAAGAATTACATAAAGTAAAGAAAATTCACCACCCAACAATCCATCAGAATTATGTAGACTGAACCTAAAGTCAAATTCTGAATTCGATCTAATTATATCAGCAACGAGTTCAAATTCAGAAAACAATCTCTTTGCAAAAATAAAAGGTTAAGGCTGTGGACAAAGATATTGCAACCCCTTTACAGATAAATTGGGGTTTCATGGGGAGTCGTTTATATCAGTAAATGTTGGAATGTAACCACTGGATGTGTAGGTATTATAGAGAGGAAAAAGTTATTGCAGTGTAGCTGCATAAATTATCACCTGAGAGGCAGTATGCCGGGCAAGAAGCAGCTTTCAGTAGATTGGTGATGCACATGAAGTCAATCAGTTAATCCAGAAGATAAATTGTTACGATCCCACACCCCCAAGGGAGTGCCACACCCAAGACCGGTCAATGGGTGGGAGAACCCTTGGATTTATTAATAGATTTGAAGTTATTGTATCTTTAGATGTGGGATTGGTCGCATTGCCACCCCCTTTAAGGGCGGACGTCCATGGCGGCTTCACTCTATCGACACTAATGTGGTGGTAGCCCTTTTTCTCCTTTGGCGGCTTCACTCATCTGTCAGCATTCAGTACAAACCCTCTCCTCTTTTTTGGAAGATATGACACCTTAATCCAGCCTATAGGTAGGCCTTTCCGTGACCCCATCTCTCAACGAAAGCACTAATTGTTACGATCCCTCACTCCCAAGGGAGAGCCACACCCAAAAGACCGGTCAATGGGTGGGAGAACCCTTGGGTTTATTAATAGATTTGAAAGTTATTGTACCTTTAGATGTGGGATTCATAACATAAGTTCATTTTGTAGATATCTGGATAGATGTTTAGAGGTTCAGAACAAAATGCTTCCAGTATGTTACAGGAAGTCCGTATGTTTAGAAGTCAAAAGCATATAGTAAAATAGCTAAGGCAAAGCCCATTTTATCTAAAATAAAAATGTAGTTAGCACAGCAAATCAGGATAATGTTAATTTGCCAGATGCCAGATGAATGGATGAATGCAATATTACTATTCAAAGTCAAAATTCAGTAAATAGTTGTGTAATGGGACCTTTGTAATTTCATTTATCAATTAAAGACATTGGCAAAATGATTCTTTTTAGTAGTATACAAGAATTCATTACCATTGCCATAAAGGACAGAGGATCAAGAATTCTCCTAAACAGAGAAAACAAGTATATAGAACAAAACAAAACAAAAAAGAAAAAAATCAGCCTAAAAGGACTCTTAAATCCCTTTGCATATCTAATAAAAACACCCCCTCCTCTCCCCAAAAAAACATGACTTAAACCTACATAGAAGCTAGAAAAACACATCTACCTTGAAGGTGTTCCAATACAAGTTTCTTAAATGAAAGATTCTTGTTGTGTGCAAGCCACAAAACAAAACACCAGAGAGAGCACAGTACACACATCCATAACAAGAAAGAAAAGTACATCTCATTAATGATGGTCTGTATGCTGCAGCATAATGTTCTTAATATATATATATATATAACAAAGGAAGATTAAAAACGGGGGAGATGAGGATTTTCATGATGCAAACTAACAAAATATCAGCTTTAAAAACCTTTAAAATCCTCATCCTCCCAAAGTCCCAAAAGTGAATAGCGAGAAGAAGCGCCCAAGATATCAGCATTGCACTCCATTTACGCAGTAGGCAATAAAGTATTTTTTCTTTTTAATAAAAAATGAGGCAACAAAAGTTATGGACCTAGGAACCATATAGGGACATCCAGTGCTATAAACATTATACCATTCCTTTCCAATTGCTCTTGTCATATCACCCCAAAATCATTGTGTAATTATTCTTTTCCATCACTATGCTTGCATGAGATCAAGTTAATGAGGCAAATAACAAGGTATACTGTAATTGCAACACTTAATTATGATATACAAGAAAAAAAATGAACATAGCAAACCAAACTCAAGCCAGTATTCGCATGACACAATTCAGACCATGTTCATTGACATCATATGGTCATGTTCAAACTTCAATCCCATGGAAAATGAATGGTGGCGTCATTTGTAAAGTTGGTTTTGAAACTTGATTTGGCAGACACAGAAGGTAGCATTTGATCCTCACCAATTTAATTCATATTATAATGCATTCCCTAGAGATTAAACACAACACTATGTATATAGTGTATAAAGATCAGGAGACAACCATAAGCAATCATCAAAGAACTTAATCAGTCTGTTATATCTGCTTGCCTCACTAATATCCAAAGTCAGCAACTAGTCATAAATTCATCAAGGCCAATCTAAAATCCTTAAAAAAAATCTCGGGAAAATACAATATATTGACCATTCGCCTGTTTGATTTCAAAACGAAACCCTTTCCACCATACCCGAAATACACTCTAAAGTCTAAACCACCTAACAATGTTTCAAGCACTTAATCTTTCAGACACCCTTAAACTTAAATACCCCACCTAGGTACAAACATTGAGCCACCTATACTTTCTTGTAGGATAAACTACCTTAAAAAAAAAAAATGTTCAACAACCCTTAACAGAGTCTTAAAAATCGTTAATTAACCCTAAAATTACAATTAAAACAAAAACACAAAATTAAGCTAAGTTAATGTGCATCAATTACCCATTATCACCCAATTGCTTACATCTTCTTCTTGGATGGTGATTTTTCAAGAAGGTTTGGCTTAAAAATTGCAACTTTATTAAATAAATAATAAAAAAAAGTACAAAAGTTGCAAGTTCAACAGTGTATCCCACAAGCATAATTGAGAGAGATGTGCATTACTTTTAACAATGATTTTGCTTGCAAGAGGGTACTCATGCCGAGAGGTAAGCTTAGGAAGAGAAAGATTCGCTCTTACAGAGGGTTTTACGGAACCAGGGAATGAAGCCAACATGCTCAACTCCATCAAAGCCCACGAAGCTAACACAACCTTTTTCAGTTTCAACTAAATTCAATGGTTGGATATGTCCTCCTAAACAAACCTATCTTGAGTCATTCTTCACTTTAGTCCAACAAAAATATAATTTTTATTTTTTTATGAATATTTTAAATGGTCCTCCAATATCTTTTTCTTTCTTTTTTTTCACATGACTATTTGGATGTATTTATTACTCGACAACTATACTTATTACACTTATATTATTAGGAAATTCAAAAAAATTGGCCTCGAAATTAAATTCAATATGTACTTCTATATCATCTTAACGAATATTTTTAAGAGGAAGGTTATGTTTTAACTATGTACTAAATATAGTACATAAAATAAACCAACTCATATATTTAGTACATAATTAAGTTTGTAAAAATTTGTAAATAAAAAATTTTAAACTATAACATGCTTCTGTTTCTAATGATCTTCTTAATTATTTAAAGAAAAACTATTAGATACCTTTTAGGTTTTCAAAATATTAAATATTTCTACTTTTTTATTTTGTACTGTTGTTTTGTGTAATTAAGAAATGTATGGAGATTTTGTTTAAAAAATATATCATTATTCATAATCTATATGATTTAAAAAGTAGAGTAGTCCTTGACCAATGAGTAAAAAGTTATGAGATTTTTGAGTTAAATCAGTTCATATCAAAATTTATATTGATGTACATATCAAAAAAAAAATTAATCTTTTCTTTTATTAGATTATAATTAAGATTTTAATTGATCTTTACAGGAGAATTTAACATTTCCTAAAACATACGCACATCTAATAACGTTGGGAAAGAAAAATTGTGACGGACACAAGACAGAGCGACCAACAAAAATAATTTATGCATTATTTTCAAAATAAATGACTTGACAAATTTTGGTTTAATTTCAGGTAACGAAGTTGTATAAAGAAGCTAATTTCTTCCGAAGTTGTTGTCTCCTTTCATAAAAAGTTTTTGCGTTGGATATAGATTGTCTTTCTCACCCCCCTCAAAAAAAAAAAAGGTTTGATCCTTGTGCCGAAAATTTCACGGGATGTGATTCTTTTGTTAGAGATTTCACGAGATCTAATCATTAGCTAAGTCTCCCGAGACAATATTTGATTCTTGTGATTAATACTAGTATTAAACAATGGATTCCATAAATGTGTTAAGAAAAAAGAGTTTAATGTTTCTCCTATAAATTAGAGATAAGTTATTGAAAAATCATTTTCTCATGAGAATTCAATTCTTCAATTCTCATGTTGTGATCTTCGATTTGCGTGCAAAACTTTTCTTTTCTTTTTCTCTTTTTAATAAATATGAGACTCACCACTAGATGAGTCACAACATAAGAATTCAATTCTCATAAAATCAAACCCCTAAGTTATTTGGTGCAAAGAGAAAATCAAACCCCTAAGTTATTTGGTGCAAAGTGGATAAGGCCCTTTTTTTCTCTCTTTCTCTTCTCACATCACTCCATTCACTCCCTTGTGTTATAACTTTATCATTGGTTCGGAGAAGAAACATTAAACCCTATCATTGCCTTTGCAAATAAAAGGAAAGTACTAAACTAAAACTGTTAACCATATATAGCTTGTGCATTGAATCGGCATAAAAGGAAAGTTCGTTTGAAATTTTAAAGTTGGATCCCCACTAAGTACAATTCTTAAACCACAATGATTCTTGGTGGTTTGGTACACGAAATAGTATATATGATCTACCCAAAATTTTCTCAAGGAGCAACACAATTTCCTTTTTACAACAAAACAACACCGTCAATTGTTTTCTATAAATCATAAACCCAGAAATTAGCACTAATGAAACTTCTCAACATCTCAAAATATATCCACTCACTCTGTCCCAAATGATAAATCAAATAATCAAAACCCTACACTGGTTTTGTACAAAATTTATTCCTCAAAGCTTCCTCCAGTTTTTGGAAAATCACTGAGAATGCTCCTGCAAAGAAAACAGCCCACAAGTAAATAATTTTTTCACACTTTCTAATTTCTAGCGGAGGCATTGCCATTTGAACTTTTTTTTTTTTTTAGTACATTGCCATTTGAACTTAACCATTGCAATTATCGAAATATCAGCTGCAGGAACAACCAATGTACAAGGGTGCAAACAGTGTGAGGAGTAAATGTGCATCAGTTAAAAAAAAAAAAAAGAAATTCCAGTAAAGTGATAAGTAATCAGTTAGACTTGCAATGTTTATAATGCACACCAAGCCCATATTCATAAGATTCATCATTTCACTTAGCTAAGAAGGACATCTTAGCAGCACAGGGTAAGAACATATTCCTCCAAAGCTATTTTTAGAGTCAGCTGTAGACTAAAATACTACAAACATAATGAAAATGACACTTAAGAAAATTAAAATTGGAAAAGCAGGTTGGAGAAAAACCTGATGATGGGCTATTCCTATCTTGTAAGGAACCTTTCACCAACAGTGTCCCAGGGATTTGCTGAAAAACCTGTAGGATGGAATACACAACACAAGACCAATGTAAATTCTGCCAATCAAAATCATTTTCCAATCCAACAAAGAATGCAAGCATACCAATATTCGAAGGCATAATCTATTCAAAGAGAAATTCAGACTTGATCCATTAGATGTCTCTCTTGTAGGTTGACAATCCATGGATTTATTGGTAATGGGTAATTCATTCTTCACGATTGAATCACACTCATCTTTCGATGCCACAACCTATTAAAATGCAATCACGCTAAATAGTCATCACAAGGAAATTAAATCATAATCTGAGACAGAGTAACTAGTCTTACATCCACAGTGAAAGAGGAGGTATTCAATGTACAGGATAGGCCATGCAAAGAGAAGTATGACTTGACAGCTTCCAACACATTAATGGCACCATGTTGGCGTTGAAGTCCCTGAAGTGACATCAGGAGTAAACCAAAAGTGACACAACATACGAGAACATATATAGATGCAATTGATGAGTATTTCAAGGCAACATGTATTTCATATAATTGAAGACATCTTCCAAGTAGGAAATCAAATAGAAACTTTTGCCCCTACTGGGAAAAACACAAAGCTATTGAGTTTTCCACCAACAACCTTGTGCTTGGAGGATGGGTGCACAAACTAGAATTGAATGCTCACCCAAATAGTGTGCATGAAATGAGAAAATTTCTTAGTGTACATAATATGTTGGAATGATACTACAATCACTCACGGGTAAAACAAGGTTCCTAGTAAAAGGTATCATATATTCCCAAATATCATGTTAGAAAGACTGTCTTATGTTCCAAATTAGTTGATAAAACCATATTTTGTTGTTTGAACCCTATTTTGAATTAAGTTTCTTAGTCACCATGATATCCAACTTAACTCTTAGTGCATAAAGTATAAATTTATGCTCTCAACCATTCTATCAAGGGTCAATATCTTAGTATGCCTGAAAATGCGCTAGGAACTAGGATTGCTCCCAGAATAATCACATCATTTTTTCATTGGCACGGGATAACAATCATTTTTTACGGGTCTGCTTAAAATCAATACATTTGTTAGAAACTCTAAATTAGATACTACACCTCAAGCATGAAGGACATGTTATTCTTGTCAGGCAACGAAATTGATGACTTCTGTATGGGAGGCAAGAAAGACCAAGCAAGCCCCCATCGGGATGTCCTGCCTTGGACAAACTCAGTTGTCTTCACTATGGTTACACCAACCTCCCAAAGTTTTGATATAAGGTACTTGAGACTTGATTTTTTACCCGCCATCGAAGTGAACCACCTATGAACACATTGAAATGAATGAGCACAAATTCATTACAAGTAAATCAACACCTAAACATAAGAAAAAAGAATGACATTTCATATGCAAAAACTATTACCGAAAATGATGCTTCAGCTGAGTACTATCTTCAATAATACGAGTAATGAAGGCCTTCTCACCACCAGGGCAAACCATTTCTTCAGAAGTGCCACCACAAGAAGTCTTGGGATTAAGTCCAGCTTCCTCCAAGCTTTCAAAAAATGGCGGATTACACATGCAGAAATCAAATTTCTCATCCTCCCTGACTACGCCAAGGAGCATGGGAGGTCCATGATAATTCTCACCATGGACTGACTCTTCATGATGCAAACCCTCCACACAGGGAGCATCTGCATTGCTTTGAACCTGTCTAATTTCAATCAACTCAGAAATATGTGGATTACTATCAACATTTCTCCCCGCCCACTCAATTGCAACATCAGTCACATCTGCAGTCATTTAAGCAAGCCTGAATTCCGATTTTTTACAGCAGTTATAAAAAAATAGAATACAGAACCAGATAAAACAATAAACCTGATCCTACAAAACTCCATCCCAAAAGAGATGCACCAAGAAGTGGGTATATGCAATTGGCTCCAGTTCCTATATCAAATCCCCTCACCTTACCACCTTCAGTTGAAATGGTATTTGGAATGATGTCAGATGAGAGAAGATCTTCAACCCAATGGATGTAATTAGACCTGTTGGGAACAGTAGGACACAACTGTCCATCAGGAATCCACCTACAACCAACATGTTAATCACATGACTTGTTAACTCAACATTAAATTGCAAATAACATGTTATTAAAAGAGGGAATGCTTCCTCTCATAATATCAACCGTTTATAAACAAATCAACGGTGAAAACTGAAAATAAAGAAAGAATTTATGTGTTTTATTGTAGCAATCCAGATTCATCACTATTCCCCTAGGGGCAGGATCCTCTGACACCAAATTTTAACCATTGATTTCTGCCAATCTGAGGGAGATAATTATTGGATCACATTTATTAATTAATTAGTAATTCCCAATAAATTATAGTCATCAGATTGACAAAAATCAACAATTAGGATTTGGTGTCAAACTTTTTAATTCGACACCGGTATCAAAGTATCCTATCTCATTCCCATATCCTAGTTGTTAGTTATTAAATTAGTTTATTTTACCTTTAGATTAAAATTAGTTAGATTATCTTATCAGTAGTTTCTAATTAAATTAAGATTTTGATTGCATTTAAGATTTCAATTGCAATTGGTTATGTAATCCAACTTCGTTAATAAATAACAGAGCCACAATC